CCCTTTTGATATGCATGATTCGTTTAGTTGGGTTCATGAAGCATGTACAAGTAATCCATGGTAAATTATATGTTTGACGTTCTAAGCTTGAAAAGTAACTCTTTTTGACCTCTAACATCTTAAATAAGACTCTAATAATGTTTGCGAGCCTTAGTAGGGTGAACAGGTGAGTTTAAGATACATTTCGTACCCAAAGTAGGGCACTTCAGGTTTTGAGTATCGGTATTGGAAGAACAGTATCGATAGTGTACTTTGAGTAATGTAAAAGCAAGGGCATCTGTGAATGAAGTATCGATATTCTTGAGATAGTATCGATACTCATAGCCCGGTTTTGATACTCAAGGGGTGGTATCGATAACAGTAACACGTAAAGGATTTTAGTAGTCATTTTTAGTACTGATACTCAAAGGAGTATCGATATCGAGGGTAAAGTATCTATACTCCCCATTGGGGTATCAATACTAAGGTATTTTTCAAAACATCGAAGCTATTTTTGGTATCGATACTCAAGGTGAGTCTCAATACCCAAGGGACAGTATCAATATTGCTGGCACAGTATCAATACCACCGTTGATTTTTGGGCATTTTGGTTCAATCGTTTTGAGTGTTCGTGCTTGGGTGGTTTCAGAATGTATAACCTTTAAGTATTCGATACAAGTGAAAACAACCAAGATAATTGAAATTACTCATAGAAATAAAGCAAGTTAGGATGACATAAGACTAGTCATTGTGTGACGCTCCAGAAATGGTAAGAACACCCTGAGTTACTCTAGTACAATGAAGTTCATCTTCTGTTTTTTGTTATGATATCTGGATATCATTTGACCAAGTTCGTATCCGATGCACGTAAATTCCAGAATCGTACCTTATGCTTGACTAGGTTTGGGATTTGAGCTTTCGATGCACGTAAATTCTGTTAGCGTATGCCCAAAGACCAATCATGAGATGATTGTATTGATACTTTTTTTACCATTTTATTGAATAAAGTTATTGCCACTATTACTTTCAGTTGCATTTCTGTGTCTAACATAAACTGAAAGATAATAAAGTTCGTATAATAATATGATTATTATTAAATATTCTTTTGTCAATTATTATTATGGGCAAGAACAATAATAATACGTTTAGGACTAACATGGAATTGATTGATGATAACGAGTTGTCATTGACATAGAGATGTTAATATCGATACATGAATATGTTGTTAGAGAAAAATATATTAAATTGACCCGCTATGAGCATGTGTATTGTATTATTATGTAACAGTCACAACATTTCTTATGGTAATGACTATATGTATAATCCTTAGACTTGAGATCATTACTATCTCAACATATATTGTTATATGTTTTGATACAATTAAACATGCTCCTTAACTGGTTGCAATGTAAAGGTTGATATTGAACATATCATAATATGTGTAGTGAGATGTGAATGATCAAGATATGATTTGTCCTTCCTACATAATAGGGAACATATCTCAGGCCACTTGATTGAGCGATACTAGAAATGCATGGTCATTCTCGAATAAGTTGATATGAGATCTCACAAATTATTTGTCTATTATAGTCTACTCTAAATATCAAGAAATAATAGATGGGTTATATAAGTGTGACTATTCCAAGACTTGTGCCTATTCCATATATAAAGGACAAAAGGATATAATACATAAAAGAGTTAGTCACGAAATGTGTTATGTCGAATCATGACTTCTAGTAACTTAGATGACAATGATATATTGCTAGATTTCACTCATTGTTTGTAATGTTAGAATCGTTCTAATATTAGTACTAACGTTATAGGAACCTACAAGGTCACACCCAATGGTTGAGATAAGCAAATTATAATAAATTACACGTGTAAAATTTATTATACTTACATTAAAGTATATAATTAAGATTATATATATATATATATATTTTTAATTATCTCGTATATGCTAAATAAATATTAAAAGGAATATAATTAATGTAATTATTTTCATTTAATTAATTCGTAAAACCGAGTAAAATTTATTCTTCTTATACTTGCATGTTTTCACAAAACAGCTTTGGGAAAAGTAAAATTTTGCTCTCAATAGGGTGAACCGAGTAGAGGTCGAGATGTTATTTCATGGAGGCTTTGCGATTCGAACCACTCGTGACTGCTGCTATATCGCTGCTTTTAAGGAACCCAAGGTAAAATAATTTTATCTCTTCATCCCGATTTTGTTTTATCATACATGGGTCACTGGTGAGACCGTCGATTTTATTTCCGTTGTGCCATGGGGTGCTGGGTACGCCGACGGTCCCAACAGTGGTATCGGAGACACTTGTACGATCCGGATTCGGGTTATAATTCTTGGTTGATGCGATGTGTATGAGATGCATGTTTGTTTTACTATTTTCGACAAATATATATGATATATGTGTTCGATTCAATGGTTGTTGTGATTAATATTTTAATTCAGTTAAACAAATAATTACAATTGTTGATTAAATGTTAATCATATATTTGTTGTTGTACGATTTGTGATTCGCATATTAATTGTTAATATCATAAATTCGTCTCTGTGATGAAAGATCGATGTCGGAAGAGGAACAAAAGGTTTTTCCAACTTGAAAAATATTAGGGATTGAGGGATTGTTGTTTTTCGAGGAACCCAATGTAAAATAATCGTATCTCTTCCTCTCGATTTTGTTTTATCGTACATGGATCGTTGGTGAGACCGTCGAGTTTGTTTTTGCTGCGCCATGGGTTGTTCCGATGGTCCCAACAAATTTCAGACCTTGTCTCGACCTCTTGAGTATCTGAGATAGACTAAGGGCTTTAAGTTTTGATGCACATAAATTTTGGTTCTTACGCTGAAGCTATCACGTTCTAGATAGGCTAGTGTGTTGTCTGAGATGCACGTAAATTCCTTCAGCTACATTGATAGACCTATCTCATGTTTGTTGATATACTTCTGCATATCCGAGGTAAGCTATGGTGTTGTCCCGAGATGCACGTAAATTCCTTCAACCACACCACTAGACTTACCTCAACATATTTTTTAGTGTATTCATATACACATGTCTTCGTTTGTCAACATGATCATTTAATGAATGCATATAGTATGTTAGAGGTATTGTGTGACGCGGGGCTTATGAGCTCAACGTTCGGAATATGTTTCCGTTAGCAGGTTTCAGGTTTCGTAATGTACGATGGGATAACGACATCATCGGAGGAGTCTTAGTGGAGTACCAGAGTACAATGATGACGACCTAGTGGGCATATAGAGGTCATGATTTGAAATAATTCAGTTTGTAATAATTTAATTATTTAATCAATTTATCAAGTTTCTAAATTGGGGCACCTAATTTCTTAAATTTTGCCACTATAACATTTTAAATTCTTAATTTCTTAAATTATTTCACATTAACATTCTAAATTATTATTTTTTAAATATTTATTTTAACTTTGGAACATTTGAAATTTAATTATAATTTTTCTTTTAATTTTTAATAATTTTTTCAATTATGTAATTTGATTTTTTTTAACTTTATGTGTGAATTATATATTATAGGCCTTTAAATTTTAATTTTTATAATTTTTCTATATATATTAAAAAATAATATAAATCTAAAAATAAAAAAATTATAAAAACGGTACCCGTGACCCGAGTTTTACGGGTACCCGAATGTAATGGGTTGGAACATGAGCTAAAATTTTGATACCCAAAAATTTCGGTTACCCGATATTACGGATACCCGAAAACACGGGTACCTGTTATTTCGGATACCCAAAAACACGGGAAAACGTACAAAAGATAAAGACCTAGATGTGTGAAAATATGTCATTTGTTAAGCGAATAAAATATGAATTCAAATATACTTTCACTATCATCTTATTCATCTCCTATACGTACTTTGATATACATGAATTCACTGCTTATGTTAGAGAGTGCTCGTGGTGAAGTCAAATAATTTTTATTAAATATGAAATTACTGTGATGTCAACGAGATATAATTAACATAATATAGTTAATAAATAATATGATATTATTAATGTTTCATATTATTAAGTTAATTGAGAATATGACAACACTTAAATTATTAAAATAAATATAATAGTTTATTTACAATTGATTTAATATTTTAATATTTTTAAATTAAATTTATTTTTTTCATATTTGTTTTTTAATGATTATATATATGAAACCTTTAAAAATAATTTAATATTCAAATTATAATATATATTATATTATAATTAATGATAAATATATATATATATATTATAGTTAATTTAAAAATTATAATCATAAGATTGTGACATGTGTCACAATTTGATTGGAGAAATAAATTTTATTAAATTAAATTGAAATTAGAACCTAATTAAAAATTAAGAATTAAAGTTAATATTAGTGATCAAATTGATTAATTCTAAAATCTAGGGGATTTAATCTACAAATTTAATACATGACTAGAATAAAAGATTTTAAAGTTAAGGCTCAAATTGAGGCATTAGACAAATAAAAAACAAAATCGGGATCAAATTGGATTAAATGAAAATTCAAGGAAACAAATCATATACAAGTAGTGACCAAAATAGAAGAAAACAAAGCAGGGTGCCAGCGCCGTGAATACATAACTTTACAAGGACCCGCACCCTATTTATACCAATTTTTTAACTACCACGTAAACACCTCCGTTAAATGCTAATGTCGTGTGGCCATTTTGAACACATTTAAATAGTACAATGATATATTTGTTACAATTTTAAAAATGGTGGTCATTTCGTGACCAAATCTATAGTTATGTTGTCATTAATGTAATTTATCCGAATATAAATTTATTTCTAAACGCAAAATTATAATGAAAAAACTATAAATTCTAGATTTCGTGGTTAGTTTGAAACAACTGTTTTCATCGTATTTTTTTTCTAAATTTTATGTGTTCAACGTTAATTTTACGGTCAAAACTAACTTTTTTTTATATATAAAAGTGATTTTAGACAACGTTATCAAATAAATGAGTATTTATTATTATACAACAATTGATAAAAAACTACTTTTTCTCGTGATATTTTACGACTAGAAAGCGGTACTGAAGTAACTCTTGACAACATTATCACACAAGATTTGCAACACTTCCATGTTCCTAGGGCCTACACATCGCGGTGTTTTAAACTGACTAAGAGCAGCTCCTAGTCCTACGTAATGATCAAGAATGTTCTGGAAAGTTCCCTTCTGAACAATTCGGAGCTCGAGAGGACCGATGGCATTGACCTTCCGAGAACTAACATAGCCTGCGTCAACGAAAGAACGATCCAAGCAATTGCAGCATTCTTTCAGTACCTCATCCCCTACTTCCCCATTAATTTCCCAGAAGATCACATAGTGACCGGGGTCTGTCGATAGGTCAACGTGACTAGAGAAATCAAGCACTTCCAGCTTTTCCTCAGCATTTAACTTGGATGCCGCTTCCACTGCAAGCTGTAAATCCGTCTCGGTGTTCTTGTCGATGTTTATGGTGAGCATGAGATTTCTTCTGCGGACAAATTTCAGTTCCGGACTCAAGTTGTGGAAGCCAGTAACCTTGACAACATCCCCAAGCCTATACCTGTATAAACCTGCCAATTACAGTTGAAAGTACACAAATAATCATTCAATAATTAATATGTATGATTGTAGGCAGTTCTGGTTTACATGGTCCTGAACTTTTCAAGCACCAAACACAAATACAACCTATTACATAAAATGGCCCGAATACAACATAAACCGATTGTTCTGCCTTGGTCCTACATGGCCACACACACATGATGAGCATTTATGTCATGGTCGGGTCGTTTTATTAACAAATAAACAGACCACAAGTTGCAGGCACTGCAAAGTGCGATGCCGAAGAACCTTATGATTCATTTGAACATGGTGGAGACATGGAGTTGAATGAAGACTAAGGAATGGATTGGACGCTCCATAATCTTCTAAAGTAATTGTACAAAATGCATAAAAGAATACCTGCAAAACTGGTGATGATGATTTCGTACTCTTCACCAACCTTAACTTCAGTCAAACCCACTGGTTCGGGCTCCGTAGAGAGGAAAGAATTACTAACTTCGCCTTGTACGTGCTCTTCAACATTCTCTTTCAGAGGAATGAATTCAAAATAACCGATATTTGGAAGCACGACATAAGTAGCTGACTCGGGAGGTACAATTGGATTGACATTTGCTCCAATCCACCCCTCAGAAGAACCATAATCAGCACTTAAAAGGGGTAAATCCCCAGCATAATGCCTTAACTTTTTCAGATAAGGTTCCATGGAACCAGTCATGATCCCATAGATGTATTTTGCATTAGGGAAAAGCTCCCGTACAAGTCCATACCAATTATTCATTCCCAAGCATTTCTCACGAATCAAATCAGCCAGTTGTGGATTCGGCTTCAGCAATTTGGCCATCGCCGATCGTACAGAAGGGAAAGTGATCCGGCTCGTGAGTTCCCCTTCCCTTATATCAACACAAAGCTCTTCCCAAACTTGCTCGAAAGTTCGAAACCCGTGAACAATGCTATGGGAAAAGGTTGAGGAAATGAACTGAATTTCCTGGCGGAAAATCAGTCCACAGAGAAGATGGCAGTACAACGATTGGTGGGAATCAGGGCCGAATATAACTTCATCAGGGCTGCAACACTGAGATTGCATCGCTTCCATCGCCTTTTTAAACTGCGGATTGCGAAAGACATTGGTGGTTGTAGTTCCAGCAATCAAACCCCCTTGAGTTTTGCTCTGCTTACTACTGTAAATGAACTGCAAAGCCTTCCCATTCTCAATAGGAAATTCTCTGTGTAGCAATACTACAAACAGATTAACATCATAAATTTCAGCAACAAAAATCAGTTTATCAACCACATCATTCAATACCTTTTTCTAAAAGCATAAGAAGTACGGTATATCTGCAAAGTAGTTTCCATTAATTCGTCATTGAAAGGCACAAACTTGGGCTTTCCTTGAGTGGTGCCAGAGCTACCGTTTGCCACAAAAATCAGCTTAAAGGGAGGGATAAGAAAAGGGATCATGAGAAACAAGCGTCCGTGTTTCTAGTCAAAGATTGTAAACCATTAAGAAGTTTCCAGGAGAGTTCAAATTTTCCTTCACATGGAACAATATGAAATGTAAAATTCAACTTCATATATCCTGCACCAAATCTTGGAAATTCAAATGAGAAAACGAATAAATATGACAAAATACAAGAGTTTTCAATAAAACAGAATCAGAATGGGAAAGAAGCGAGCATGTGGATAAACTGCAGGTAAAGCCGATTACCTGGTTTTGTAGACCAAAACATTGACAGAAATAAAATATTTGAAATAAAATATTTTATGTAAACATATTCCTTCAGTCCTATAATTTCTATTTAATATTAATTATATACATAATTTTAAAAGATATATTTAATTAAGAGAAATGGTAAAATTATTCTTAAAATATGTTCAATTTTGACACATTTGCGTTGATAGATATAAAATAATAGGACATATAAGAGTAAAAAATAAAAATATAAATGTTATTGTTTGTTAATTTTTCTAATACGACATTTTAAATGCGATAATTTTAAAAACCAATAGAAACGTATTTAGTAGGAGAGGATTTTTTTTAAAAAAAATTATAATTTTATTAAAAATTTTACGTTTATATTTTATAATAGTTTTCTTGAATAAATTATCACTTTGAATAAGGTGTTAATGTATCACTACTTATTAATTATAAAATAAAAAATATATTAAACATCAAGATTTAAAATCAAACCTAAGATCTTATATAAATAAAATCACTAACCTTTAATCATCAAATTATAAATTTAATACCTAAACTATTGGTTTCAATTTATTTCAGTGTCTAAACTTTATTTTCTTTAAATCATACCTAACGTTTAGTTTTTTTTTGTTTCATTCTAATACTCTATCATTAATCTTCTAATTATTTCTTCTAATCAACCGAGAGAAAAGAGAGAGGCACAAGGTTTTTACTGACGAGACGGTGGGCGCCTCTTTCGCGAGGCGGTAGCCGCCTCCACCACCATCCGTGCTTCTTTATGCTCTCCTTCGACCGCTTCTCTCGAGCTCTCAAAAGCCCAACACAGTGAATCCCTTTTCATGTTCTTTGAACAAGGGATTGGTCGGCCCCACTCTGGTGTTTCTGGTTTTAGGATTCGTTGGCTTTTGTCTCCAGTTTTGTTTCTCGATTGATTGGGTGTTCTCTTATAACTTGGTGAGGTCGATCCTCGCTCTACCAGCTGTGTTTCTTTTCTTGCTTCAAATCGACTGCTGTTTCGTGCTTGTGTTTTGGTTTACTCTTGGATTTTGTTTCAAAGTTTTTGAGATACTGTTTGGTTTCAAGTTTGTTTTTGGAGTCAAATTGAGATAGTTTATTCTGCACGCAAGATGCTTGTGTTAAAGCCTTGGTGAACCAGTATTTTGGTTGTTTGAAATACAGTATGAGGGTGTGTGTTTCAGGTTTTCCTTCGGAACTGCTTCTTTGTTTGTGGATAACCTATCAATCCTTTTCATTGGAAAGGTTATGGCAGATTGAGTGTTGCAATGGTGAAGTTTTGTGTGTTTTCTTTCCAAAGTAGAGGACTCGAGTAGATTCTAGGTTTGGATTCGTTTATGTTGTTGATTCTGATAGTGGTGTTCTCAAGGTTTTAGCGTCTGCATTTTTGGTTGAGTTTGGCTAGTTATTTGCTCGTTGATGTTGCTTTTAATGCTGTCCATTCCGATCATGCGTTTGTGTATGCTTTGCTGTCTCTGCGATATGAATTATGTGCGATCCTTCGTTGTTTGGGGAGCTGGACGATGTGTGCTTCCTGCTCTTATAGTTGGGTATTGTTATGGGGAGGCAGAGTGGTGGAGCGTGGCGTTCAAATGCTGAGGTTGCTGGTGATTGTTCTATGTACGAAGAGAAATGGAGTGATGGTTTTGGTCCCCAGACAAAATGTAATGTGGTTTCCTCGCATGCTTCATTCTGTCAGAAGAGTGACACGTTTAATGCCTTGGAGGCAGTTAGTAGGGGTCACGTGGTCCCTGAGGAGAAAATGTGCGCTTCTTATATGCAGGATGTGTCGTTTTCGTCTATTGATGGGCTCATGAACAGGGCTATTGATGATAGTGTATGGCTTATGGTTTTAATCAGAGTTTGTCGTGAGGTCTAAGGCTTTTGGTCTTTGTGGTTTTTGTCGTGGTTTTTTTATAGGAGCTGGAAATAAATTCTTATTATTTAGGTGCATAATGGAGATAGTTCTTGGCATATTTAAGTTGTTATATTAGTTCTGATATGAAGCTTCCAAAGTGGAGGAGCAATATGTGTGGTATTTCCAGGTTCTTTGAAGCATTTAAAGTAGGCGAATCATGTTATGCTTGTCCTTTGCTTTTTGTGTTTCTACTTTCTCCATGTCTACCCTCTTGCCTTAGTTGTAGTAGCAAGATTTCTCAGATCTTGCTTCAGACTTTATAAATGAGTGGCATTTGTTTCTGATGTGCATAAGTGTTAATTTGTGGTGGGGAGTGATTATTTTTTTGTATTCTTCTATTGGCGTTGGGGAGTGTTCGTAGGATGAGTTTTGTGCGCTGGGAGAAAGATTGATGAAGTCATGGTGTTATGTTAGTGTTTTTAGCAAGTTTGGTGATCAGGGTTTCTGCTGTTGTTTGGATACGTCTCTTTGCTATCATGTTCGATGTAGATCAGTATTATGGTTGTATGTCCATCTCTATCTTTGTTCTGTTGTATCATTTGTATTGGTGTTAGTTTGAGTTGGGTTGTGGCTTGAGGTATGTCTTGTGTGTTGTTAGTGTTATTTTTGTATTTGATCCTTTCCACCTCTTGGTTCACTCTTTTTCCTTCACTTAGGGTTAGAGAGGTTTTTTAATGAGTTCCTTGAGGTGGTGTACTTTGCAATTATTCGTAATACAAAGTATCCTCTTTTAAAAAAAGTACTCTATCGTTGAAAACTAATGTGTTTAATGCCTAAACTAATAATTGTTGTTCATTTTAATGCCTAAACTTTCAATTTTTCTCAAAACTTAACATTAATGTTAACGAATGTGCTAAGATGAAACAAAAATTAAACATTAGATATGGCTTTCAAAAAATTGAAAATTTAGATACAAAAACGAAACAGAACTGATAGTTTAAGTAGTAAATGTATAATTTACTCTATATATTATTTTATATATCTAAGGTGAATATAAAATATTATATGTTCAAAAATAACTCTTAACAATTTGATAATTAATGCTCATAACTCACACAGTGCTCAAATTTAAAACCTCAAAAGAAAATAATAAATCTCTTAACTACTGAGGTCATTTAGTTTGTACAAACTAATTAATATGTTATATGGCGTTTAGTAAATTATTTATAGGTAAAACAAATGTTGAAATTACTTATATTTTTTTATAAAAATATTATTTATGACATAAAATACGAAATTTTATATATATAACAAAGTTTTTCTTTTAAATTTATAAAATTATATTTATGATATTTTATAATCATGTTGATTTGTATTATTTTGATGTGTTCAAAATATTATAGATATAAATTTCGCACTTATAATATTATAAATTTTACATAGATATTAATTTGTTTGAGTTTTTAGATTTTTAAAATATCGTAAATGTATATATTCTTTTATATATATTAATGATTTGTTTTATGTATAAATTTGATTAATTTAGCAATTTTTGTCATGTCACGTTATACTTTAACATTCTGTTTTAATTATTTTTAATTATTTATTTTTAACGTTTTAATTTTTTTCATATTTATCAGTAATTTAATTAAAGAAAAATTATATTTTCATCTTTGTGTTGTGACTTTATTAATGAGATATTAAATATACTCATTAGAGTAACAAAATTACATAATTTTGTTAAAATTTATAGCGTAAAGTTCTCATATTCATGTAAATAATTTTCATATTATTTTGTACGTGTTAAAAATATTATAATTATATATTTTTTTATACATTAATAAATTGTTTTATACTATAAATTTTGAAACGTATGTATTTTCATGTTGTGTTCATGATATATCATGCACCCATCACGGTTTAACATTTTTCCTGTATTATTTAATTTAATTTCATACTTTGTATTATTTTATTTATTTAAAATTTATTTCACGTTAGAATAAACAATCTATATATAGAGAGGACACTTTCTAGTAAATAATATAATAAAAGTGAGGGGGAAAGCAAGAATGGTGGGCGAGGGGGCTACTTTGATCAGTAAGTTTCAGCCACCTCCAATGAAAGTCAACATGAACGAGCAGTGCGTGCGTGTTTGTTTTTCTCTCGTGAACCACATTTGCATTTTTACTTTACTTCCATAACCGACAGCTTTCCATTTCCAAAGCTAGAGAAATTAAATTATATTCTTTTATTCATTATTAATATTAAGAGTTAACTATACGGATGATCACTTATTTTTGTGTTTTATTTACTTTTAGTTACTGCTTTCAAAAAATATAAGATATTGTTACTTTTGTTTTTATTTAATAAAAATGTGGTTATTTTGAGTTAACTGTCGTTAATATAAGTTAAATATTTTGATATAATAACGTATTTAACTTATGTTATTTACATATTCTATCAATTTAGTCATGCTTTTAATAAAGCAAAATAAAGTTAATACTCTAATCGGATGTACCACATATCATGCCACGTGTCATGTCAAGACTATTGTTTGGTTTAAAGTAGACAACATGGTGTATATATTTTGTATCTTAGTGTATAAATACATAAATTCATAATATTTTATTAACTTAAAAACTATTTTTTATATTAACTTATTAAATATATTTTATTATTAACTTAATTTAAAAATATTTTATTTTTATTTTCATTTAAAAATATTTCATTTTCATTTGAAAATATATGTTTTATGTTAAAATTTATTTAAAAGTATGACTAAATTGAGAGAGAGTGTAAATAACATGGATCAAATGTTATTATACTAACTATCACGTCACATATTCTATTAATTAGTAACAATATTTAACCTGTGATAACCACATCTTAACTAAAAACGAAAGT